TGTAATACCATATGATGTTCCTTAGATTTAGTGCAATAAGATGATGTTTAAGTTATATCATGTTTTAAGTAGTAATTGGCATAACACTTAATGGTTTCTTACCTACTTCTATATCTTTTATAGGATTGTTTTAATTACTGGGTAAATGCTCAGATGCTCAACACCAAAAAAAAAAAAAAGCAACAACAAAAAGTTGTGTATCATAATGATTATTCCCTATCAGATGCCTTAGACACATACTCCACTGATCATTTCTTATCAGATTAACAATGATCTAGCACCATACCTTATTTTTTTAAAAAAATAAGGTACAAATGAGTTTTTAATATTAGATAAAATTTATAAAATAATAATTACTAGCAAGAAAAGTTATTTTTTCAAAAATTCTATGATTTTACATGTAATTAAATGAACTTGTGTAGAAGGGGGCATTGGGTAATTTGGTATTGCTAGAGATATAAAAGCCCTCAAAAAGAGTACATAAAAAGAGAATATGAAGATCTACATAGATACCTTAAAAAGAGTATATGAAGCTATACATGGATCTTATAGGGATATACATATATCCTCATTTATGTTATTTACACTTAAAAATTATGTATAGCTGGGCACTGTGGTGCACATCTTTAATCCCAGCAGCTGGGGAGGCAGAGTCATGAGTCAAAGTCGAGTCAAAGCCAGCCTCAATAGCCTAAATAGGCCCTAAGCAGCTTAACAAGACCCTATCTCAAAATAAACAAAAAAATTTAAAAAATATAAAAAATTATTGGGGATGTGGTTCAGTGGTTAAGTGCCCCTGGCTTCAATACTTGCATTAAATAAATAAAATATTTTAAAAAATATTATGTATGTATGTCCATATATAATAATGTGAATTAAGTTTTAAAAATTTGTTTTTTGTTTTAACCCATTAAGGTTGGTACATTTCATAGTAGAGTGAGATGATAAATAGTACCTCAGCCAGGTGATCAAGTTCAACATCGACTGTCCTCCTTTATGTTAATAGTATATGTCTGCATTGGCTTGGTTATTATCTTTCTCCACTGGACTCTTAAGTTGGAAGCTTGGTCTCCAGTGTGGGGATGTTACGAAGTGGTAAGACCGTTTAAGAGGTGGAGCCTAGTGGATATAATTAAGTCATTGAGGCACTGACCTTGGAAGGAATTGGTGTAGTTCTTGTGGGACCCCTTCGGTTAGTACTTGAGAGAGTGAGTTGTTAAAAAACAAAACAAAACAAAACTCTGGCCCCTTTCATGGTCTTTCTTCCTGTCTTACCATATGATCTTTTCCTTTCACATATTTTTTCACCATTGATGCCATCTGCCATGATTTCCTGTAGCCAAGGAGGCCCTTTCCAAAACTGGTACCATATGGTTTAGACATTCAACTTCCAAAACTGTGTGCCAAATAAAGCTCTTTTCTTTACAAAGTACCCACCTTTAGGTATTTTATTATAGCAACGGAAAATGAACTAATAAAGTACCTGTGATATCATGTGATGAAAATGATAGTTCATCTCTATTACCTTCCTCCTTAAAATTCACATCCGCAGTTAATCATGAGAAAAACATCAAACATATTCTAAAAATACTCTCAAGCTCATCAAAAATAAGGAAATTGTGAGAAACTGGTACATCCAAGAGGAGATCAAGGAGACATGACAACTAATAGTAATTAGTTCTAGTTGAGATGCCGAAACAGAAAAAGAACATTAGGTAAAAACTAAGAAAATCTGAGTAGACTATGGACTTAAATTAATAATAATGCATTATACAGATCAATTAGTTATAATCAATGTACCATATATACTAATTTAGGATGGTAATAGTAGGGGAAACTGGGTGGGTAGAAGTGAGAAGTAAAAGGGAACTCTATGTAGTATCTGCTAATTTTTTCTATACAGATAAAACTGTTGTAAAAATAGTCATTAATTTAAAAAAGCAGGTTAAAGGACAAAATTATAATGATTATACCTTTTAATGTCACAAACATCTCTAAGAATTCTGAGGAATGATATTATGAAGAAAATTTAGTTTCTTATTGAAAACTTTTCTAAGAACTTTATTCAATTTGTAGAGAAACTAAATTAATTAATAAAAATTGTAGAAAACCAAATATTTATACTTTGAAACACATTTAGTAATATTCTTACTGTAAAAAAAGTTAAAGAAATTTAGATATATATAACATAAAATTCACATACAGTCCTTCCATTTATTGAAATAATCCTGTAATTTCAAGGTCTTCTTTCCTGTGCAGGTTTGATGCAGTCTATATTTATACAGTATAATATAGCCTTTTCTACTTTAACTTTTCTCAATTTATCATGGATATTTTGCCCTCTCTGCCCTTAGCATAATCAGAATGCTAAATCTAAGACAAAGGTCTATTTTCATTAGCTTTGATATATTGTATCAACTTAGAAAATTTGTTTCAGGTTATAGTTTAGAAAAATTGTATCAGATTATACTTCCATTACCATGTTCACAAAGTACAGATGTCAGAAACTGGGTCTAACCAATATTTAAAGATCTGGGGATTTCCCTTATGAACCATAAATCCTTGGTTCCTTTTGAAAAATCAGTAGATCAAGCAATAGTGGGCCACATTCTTCTATGAAAACAGTAGACTGGAGTTAAGTAAGAACTGCTAAAAATAGCCCCATTATTCCTTAACAGTAAGACTGTTGTCACTTCCTTTTACTTATACTTCTAAAACATGGTTTAGGGCTGGGGTTGTGGCTCAACCGCTCAGTACTCACCTCGCACATGCAAGGCCCTAGGTTTGATCCTCAGCACCACATTGATAAATAAAATAAAGATATTGTGTTCAACTACAACTAAAAAGTAAGTGTTTTTAAAAAATGGTTTATTTTAGAAATTTACTTCTTGTGACTATATTTCTAGGAAAAGTGATAAAAGAGTGAAAAGAAAATGGAAGCAATACAAGTTACTTTGTGGAAATGAAGAATACATTATGATTTAACGTATAAATATCTTACGTATGAAATAAAATGCTATAATTTTAAAACAAATGCAGCCATATTATTTATTTTTATTCTCTTTCTGATTCTTATGAAAATTTTGAGGTGTCATTACTTTTATAGTACTTTATGTTGTATTGAGAATTTTGAAAGAATGCTGCCTAAATAATCTTTATTGTTAGAAATATTAATAATATTAATAGAAATAGTATTATAAATAAGTGTTGATTTCAGTGGTAATATGAATTATTGGAACATTTATTCTATTCATGAATATTTTATTTTTTTATTATTGTAGCTTCTTGATAAAATGTTAATTATTTTATATTCTTAACTGTAATCTTATAATCCATTGGTGATTTAGATAATTTATTTTATAAAGAAAACTAGATTGCTTATTGGATATACCAATAAACTAAAATTATATTTTAGTATATTGGTATATATACCAATATACATATACCAATATATATATATTGGTATATATATATTGTATTAATCTAAATTTCTTCTGTATTAATCTAAATTTTTTTCTTTGACCATGAACAAATTATACAGAATTTATTTAGCAAATGATGTTGGTATATCTTCAATTATTTTATTAATGGCAAACTAGACAAGAGCAGGAAGCCTTTGAAATTGTTTAAATTAGTTACCAATCAAAGTAAATATGTGTAGATGTCAAAATTTTGATTATAGAATAGTAGGAAAAACAAAATAGCAAAATTTGGGGAGTGTTTTAAAATAATAAGGAAAAATACTGCAAAATCATTTGCTCTTACAAAAATCAAAATGCTTTAAGTATTTTAATGTTCCAAACAAGGTAATGGAGTAATAATGACAGTACAATAAAAACAACACTTTGAAGAAAATGTTTAATAGTATCATAGGCAGAAAAATAAATCAGGTTATGTAAATATGAGGAAAATAAAATGATAAAAATCTAAGGTAGTCCCCTCATCTCAAAATGTATAGGTTATAATTAAGAAAATGTTGCCTATCCCACCAAAAAAAGAAAATGTAGGCAAACTTGGAAAGGAGACAATGTTTACTCTTCTTTATACAAATATATATATATTTTCTCCCTTAGGAATATCATTTAGGTAGTTGGGACTCTGTATTACATGCAAATATTTTCAGGGCTATTTCATCCATATTGATAATATTCAAAAGGTTTGACATTCTTTGGTTAAATCAGCAAAACCTTTGTTCTCAGTATGATTCAGTATTTTTATTTTTTGTAAAGTAAGTGTTTAATTGTATCGTTTTTATGGTATCATACATAATCAGTGGCAAAGGGAGCAGTATTCTAGTATAATCCTAATCATTATAAATAGATTTCCTAAGTTTGATTTTTTTGTGATTTCTTTTGTTAAAAGTGGGGGTTTATCATTATGACTTTATCTGACATAAATAAATTTCAAAAGAGAATGGTTAATAGTGGATTGACTTCTAAAATATCATGACGTCTTAAGAAGTCATTATTAAATTGTGATACATTAAAAGGTAATTGGATTTACAGTGTTACTGGTTTCCTTTTTCCAGCTTTGTATTCTGTGATATTACATGACTTTTGATCAGATGGTAGATTGAGTAATTTGTGAGGAAATACATGCTTAATTATAAGTTTAAGATAATTAAATTACAGATGAGTGGTATGTACCATGCATTTATGAGTTAAATTTGTTTCTTCTTCACATGTATATGATAATGTTGTTCATAAAAATATTTGTGTAGACTCTTAGTTATTTTACTGAAAAATAGCTTTCCACTTGAATAATAATGCTTAACTAGTTGTAGTTCCCTTTTTAAAAAATGTTTGGTCTTAGAACCCAAACCCAAGCCCCTGTACATGCTAAGCATATATTCTACTACTGAACTATGACCCCAGCCTCTTGTAGTTTATAGTTTATTGTTATAATAAAAAAAATCTGAATATTTAGGCTTTATATAATATATATTTGCATATATTTGTAAATACAATAATATATAAACCAACAAATGTTTTTTTAAATAGTTATCTCTACAGCCGTCATTATCGAGCTTGGAAACATTAATGGTCTCACAGAAGTCTGAAATTGAGTATTTACAGGAGAAACTGAAAATAGCAAATGAAAAGCTGTCTGAGAACAGATCTACCAACAAGAGTTTCTCAGAGAAGAGCATCATAACCAATGCTGAAGGAAAACTTAAGGTAGAGGCATTTTGTTGTTTTATGAATTTATCAAGATGAGACTGGCTTGGCAAGAGATGATGTTCAACAACTTAGAACCTATACTTCTCTGATTATGTTTCTGGAAATTTTAAATAAATATTACATGTTAAATACTTGATAAAATGCCTCCTAGGAAAAGGGAGTTTTCCCTTTTCAAAGATGCGATACTATAATCCTAAATTAATTAATTCAGTACTAAGATGTTATTAGTAGTGTGTCTATTTTTCCATTAATATTCTTATATTAAAAATTTTTTTCTTTAAACTTTTTTAAAAATATGTTTATTTATTTATGTATCTTTAGTTTTAGGTGGACATATTATTTTGTTTTCATGTGGTGCTGAGGATTGAACCCAGTGCCTCATGCATGCTAGGCGAACGCTCTACCACTGAGCCACAATCCCAGTCCATATTAAAAATTGTTGAGGGCTGGGGATGTGGTTCAAGTGGTAGCACGCTCGCCTGGCATGCGTGCAGCCCGGGTTCGATCCTCAGCACCACATACAAACAAAGATGTTGTGTCCGCCAAATACTAAAAAAATAAATATTAAAAAATTCTCTCTCTCTCTACCTCTATCTCTCTCACTCTCTCTTTAAAAAAAATAAATAAAATAAAAATAAAAATTTTTGATAAGCATCCCTTATTTATCTGATATAATCATCTGATTAAAAGTTTATTTTAATATTCATTTACTCATTTTTAAAATTTTAATTAAAAGAAAAATACATTCAGTATTCTTTTATCCTGATATGATATTTATAGTATAATACATACAGAATATAAAATAATAAATGGATTTTAATATTAAGGTGTGCATTTATTTATTTGTATTTAAAGGATGGTAGTAGGGAAAATTAGCATATTTATATTAATGTAAAAATATTCTTAATGTTTCAGCTTTTACTTTTTTTTTTTTACTATTTTTTATGTATTTGTATTATACTGCAAAAGATTATACAGAATGTTACCAATATAAAAATTCCATAATATTATAATTCTAGTACTTCTAAGTAAGTTGAAATAATTTTCTCTAAACATAAGGAGTTTAAGATATATTTTTGTTAATACTTTATTTAAACAACAGTAGAGGAAAAATATTTTTTATAAGTAAAAGACTGTTTTAAAGATAAATTATTTTTGATTCTATTTTTTCCTATGAGTAGAACAAACTATCATAATAAAGAAAACATTTAAAATTAGACCCATGTTTCTTTAATTACTTAGTACTCTTACTCCCCATAAAATTGTTAATAATTTTCAGAGGAATGAGTTTTATTCATTTACTAAAACATAACTGTATTGTGTATTCTTACCATTTTGAAATAGTTTTGCAAGCTTTATCTGAATGAAAGTAAATACAGCTAAAATTGAAATATATCATTATAGGGCCTAATTTGACTTCTTGCTGAATTGCTGAAGTTTAAAAATGTACTGCTTTGATTTTTTACTGTTTTTGATAAAATTTGAGAAGAGGAGAGGTGTATTTTAAGAAAAATTTTCTTTCTTTTTTGTGAGGATGAATACTATGTTGCCCAGCTTAATAGTTGCTTTCACATATTCCTTCTCCAGATTGGTATATGAAGCTGTACATAATATAAACACACATTCTTGTCTCTAGTTAGCCACATTGTAGTTAATGACCATATGGTCATTATGGTATAAGATCTACTGTCTGTTGTATTTATATTCCTCAAGCATATTGTTCCTTCAACTTCACTGTGTGTTAAACTATTTCAAAGGGAAAAAAATCCTTTCCCTCTTGTTTCTGGTTGTCCTATCAAGTGTAACCTTGGACCCTTATAGAGCAATTAGACCAGCCTCTATCCCCTCCTTTGTAATGAGGTTTCTTGCATTTCTGAGTCTATAACCCTTTAGTCTTCCCTAATGGGACATCATTATTCTGAAAGAAACAATGTAAATGTAAATGAATATTCTCATTAACGAGTCACAGAGAAACCTTTAGCGGTAGCACTGTGGTAATTCCGCTTGTTATTTCTCTGTATTCCATGCAGGATTTTTTTTATAATTCATTATTAGTATTCAAAATTACTTGTTCTTTAATTTTGCATGTCTTTCATAATCCGATGTTTCAACTAGTTCAACCATGTCCTTGTTTTATTCTCGAGGAACCACCTGTGAAACGTTCAAGGTCTTTGTCCCCAAAGAGTTCTTTCGTAGACTCAGAGGAGCTGAGGAAGCTGACAAGAGCTGAAAGAAAGATTGAAAACTTAGAGAAGGCCCTACAACTAAAGGTGAAAATTAAATCATATCTTTAATAATAACCATGCAAAGATAAAACTATACTAAAGTAAACAAATATTGCACAAATAATGGCTTGTCATATTTCTTTCCTGAATTTAATTACCTGTACAAAAGCATGCAGTCAGCTAATCTGGTTTTTAAATTTTCTGAGGATCATAAAATAATACAACAACATTTGCTATTTAAAAACTAAATATTTATTCACTACTTTGAAATTATTTGGAATATTTTCATTTAAACTTTAGACTAAATTTCTTATTGTTTCCTCAAAGACAAAGAACTATAACAAATGGAAAAGAGTTTCTTGTTCTTTATATATGATAAATGTCTGAAAATAAAAATGAGTTAAAAATCATATTAACAGGCTGGGCCCAGCAGTATATGCCTATAATCCCAGCTACTCTGGAGGCTAATTCAGGAGGACTGAGAATTTGAGGTTAATCTGGGCGATTTAGAAAGATCCCATCTCAAAAACAAAACCAAACCTTTCAAATTAGCTCAGCAACATACAGTTAAGTTATCCTTTGTATGAAAATTACGTAGTCAAGTGGCAAAAAAAATTGCTTTTTTTTTTTCCATTTCAAATGAATTTGTCTCAGAACATGTGACTTTTGAGTATTCTGCCTAGGTTTAACAAATCTATACCTGATTGGTTTGTCTTTGAGAGCTTTTACTTCCTGATTTAAACTTAATGAATTCTCTTAAACAGAGGAGATCATTCATGCATATTGAACCAATTTTTATGTGACTACATTAAGTGTTTATTTGTTTTTTTTGTGTTTGTTTATTTTTGTAGTGCTAGGAATTGAACCCAGGGCCTCACACATGCTAGGCAGGTGCTGTATTACTACACCCTAACTCCTCAAAGGCTTTTATTTTTTCTCTGACTTCAATATAGCAAACTTCATTCTTTATTTATAATTATCTAAAGCCTTTCCATATTTGAATTTCAGTCATATAATTGATTCTCAATAGTTTTACACCATTCTGTGTCAGGTCCAATGCTTTATGTGTGATTACATAACCAATCACAACCCCCTTCCCCACCCAGTGTTAGGGCCTAAACCCAGGGCCTGTGCATACATACACCAAAGGGATATATATGTGTGTATATTTATGTGTGTGAGTGTATAAAAATATATACGTTTGTGTGTCATACACATGATTTACTATAAGGAATTGACTCATAATTATGGAGGCCAAGAAATCCAAGATATGTAGCTGTGAAGCTGGAGATCCAGGAGAGCCTATGATATAGCTCCAGACTGAGGCTATAGAAAAAGGAGAACTGATAGTATAAGTTCAAGTCAAGTCCATGTTTCAGTATGAGTCCAGAGGCAAGAGAAGACCAATGTCTCAGCTCAGATACTTGAGTAAACAGAATCAAATCTTTTTATACTCAGTTTTTAATTCTATTTGGTCTTTCAACTAAATGTCCTGAATATTAGGGAGGGCATGTGCTTTACTCAGTGTATTAGTCTATTTTTTGTTGCTAATAGCCAATATCAGAAGCTGGGTAAATTATGAAAAAAACAGGTTTGATTTGTCTCACAGTTCTGAAGGTGAAGCTTGAGGAATCACATAAGATGATACCTTCTTGATGGTAGAGTTCTCAAGAAGTACAAGACATTACATGGCATTAGACAGGATGTGCATATGTATGTTTCTCTTCTGCTCTTTCTCCCTCTTCTTATATAGCCACTGATTGGGACTCAATCACAGAGGTTTCATCCTAATGATCCTGTCTAATCTTAAGCATCTTCCAAACTTCCTACCTATAAGCACCATAGTCAAATTGTTTCTACCTTCTTAATATCACACAATGGGCACACTCAATCCATAGCATTCAGTATATTCGTTAAAATATTATTCTCATTCAGAAAGATGGAGAAATTCTGTTTTAATCAAGTATCTGGCAAATTGACATATTAGCCACATATCCATTCAACAGTAGAGGATCTTCAACCATTTGTTCTCAGAGATCTATAAATCCCTTATTTTGGCAGTAAGTGTATAGCAATTCAGTGGCATTTTATATCTAGTCTCTTACTATCTGTCTCTTGAATTCCTTGTTTAAAAACAGAGTATCAAATAATTATATGATTTATTTCCTCCTCCTTTTTTTTTCTGACCACACCCTTCTGGGAGGAAGCCCCAATTTTATTTTTAGAGTAAAGTTCTTTTTTTCATAAAACTTTGTTTATAGTTTACCTATATTCATATTTTAAAAAATATTTATTTTATAGTTGTAGTTGGACACAATAACTTTATTTTACTTATTTATTTTTATGTGGTGCTGAGGATCAAACCCAGGGCCTCACCTGTGCTAAGCAAGTGCTCTACCGCTGAGCCATGTCCCAGCACCCCTATATTCATAATTTAAGTCAATTAATAATTATGAGTTTCAAATTTATGTCACTGCAAATTTGCAAAATTAGAGCAAAGATTTTTTTCTGTATATTCTCATTTAGTGAATTTTTTTATTTTTAAGGAGAGAAATATATTATAATCACGGTCACTTAGGAAAAGATGTAAACAAAATCTGTATAGTAAAGTAATTCCAAAGAGTGTGACTGCGTTCAAAGTAACTTTTTAATCAATAGATTAATGTTGGTCTAGTAATGGTAATTGTATTTAATAAAGATAGAAGATATCACTTTATAATCTCATTATTCTGTCATAATAATATTTCTATTACTCTATTGCATGTAAATATAAAGTAAAATAGTAATTATTTGGTAGTGGGGGTACAGTTCAGTGGTAGAACACATATTTAGCATACGACAGGCCTCGGATTCCCTGGAAGCAAACACAGAAAATAATAATGTGACTGTACTTTTTCTTAGTGTTCTGTAAACAAGTACCACAAACTGGGCAGCTTAGAGCAACTGAAATTTATTGTTGCAAGTTTCTGTAGGCTAGAAAAGTCTAAAATCAAGGTGTCAGAAGAACTGCTTTCTTCTGAGGTCTGTGAGGGAGAATCGGTTTCGTTCTTAGCTTTTGGTAAATTTAGATTTTCCTTGGTTTATAGGTTACATTTTCCCTGTGTCTTCATATTATCTTCCCTCTCTGCATATCTATCTCCTTGTGTCTAAAATTCCCTTTACTTTAAGAATATCAGTCATATTGGAATAGGGCCCACCTAATGATGTGTTTAACTTGATTATCTCTGTAAAGACCTTGTGTCCAAATAAGACAAGTTCTGAAGTATTGGGAGTTAGAATTCCAATGTAATTTTTTTGTAGGAGGGGAGGCAGGGGAACACAGTTCAACCTATAATGAGTAACTGTTGGATTTTAAAATACATTTATTGAACTTGATTTTTATTTGTGGTTCATCACCCACTTATACATGTGGAAGTTTTGTCGTGGCCTTTGTTATTCTATGAAATATTGTTCTGTAGAGATTCATGAGAGTATGGTAGATAAAAAATGGTCCATGCTCAAATGATTATTGTAAACAATGGATTAAAAGGTTTATTTTTTGTGAATCTTTAACATATCAGTTCACATTGTGAATCTATATATAGGTATTCCCATATTTACTTGGTTATATTACTATTAATATTTTCCAAAAGGTGGCTGCTTTTCCATGGAAGATACCATGGGAAATACTGAAGTAAAGACAAAAGTCATATTCCAAGGCATTGTAGATAGCTCTAGGACTCTCAGTTGTTTACCTAGGCAAATTAAAAGATGGGAGAGACAAATAGGTTTCAATAGTAGCCCATGGAACCTGTATATATGGATTTTTAGTACATTGATATGACGTACTGTGTCATGTCAGCAGTAAATTATGCATATAAATATTCTAATGCTAGTTATTAATTTTCTACAAATATTGACCCATTAAGTTGTTCTACTGACTCTTGTGAGTAGCTATTCATATTTTCAAGGTGGGTGACTCTTGTCGTAATAAATAAGCAGATATAGTATGGAAGAAATTAAAGTTATTTTTAATAAAACTTCCATTTATAATCTTGACTTCATAAATGTAATGTTCTAGCAACTTATAAAATATAGTTTGGAAATCTGAATTAGAGTCTATGAAATCCTTACTATTCTTCAGACTATTAATGCCATGAAAATCCCTGTTTTACTGATTTTCTTACATCTGGCAACATGATTTTATTAGCAGTTTTCAATGCCATTTAACAGCATTAATTTGTTGAATAAATTTTATATGTATTTTTTCGATGTTTTAATATATATACACTTTATACATTCTGCTGAAATTAAACATTCACACTGGAATCCTTGATATTATATTAAAATTTTTAATTTGTTTTTTTTTTTCCCTATTCCTCTAAAGCCTTGTTCTTATTCCCTGAAGATCAAGTTACTATTTCATGAATAGAGTTTATGCTCTTAATTCACCTTATTCTTATGAAGTAACCTTTGAGCAAACCAGATTAGGTTAAGAATTGTTTTTGTTCTTATGAACTTACTTAACAAAATTTGAAAATACCTTTAAGGATAGCCAAGCAATTCAGTTTTCCTATTTTATATTTTCTAATGTTCAGTCTTCAGACTTGTTTGTACACAAAAGCCTATATTTTAATTACGAGTTTCTTGGAAAATACTCAACAAAGGATTTATAGAATGATTTTATGAGTGGCTCTAATTCAGCAGCTGCCTATGGAATATCTTTGTGTGTATCCTTTTAGGAAAATGCATTGATTAGTGCTATAAAATGTATTTATCAGTCTTTAAACTTGATTTTGTTATAAGGTCTTTGGTGGTAATATTTCCCAAATAAACTACTATTTTTTTAATTTTGGCTATTATATGTCAAATGAGATTTGAAGAATCATAATCCAAACTACAGTTAGCCTGACTTTGTGAGAAGGTTGTGAAAAAGTATTTTGGTTATTCCTTCAAACTATTTTTTCTGAGATAACCAACTTTTGATAGATGGGTTCAGCTAACATCTGTTCTTGCAGTATTATAATAGGAAAATATTTTTGTGAATTCTATCATATTTACCTTCTGTAAAATTTTAGTATTTCTGAAATAGGACAAAGTAAAATCTGTGACTGAAATTCCATCTTAAAAGAATTATTATTGTAAATTACATCTGTTAAATTGTTTTATAAATAATTCTACTTTAATGGTCTAGATTTTATTTTATAAAAATTATATAAACACTCTGGTTTTAGTTATAATAAATTAAAAAGCAAGTAAAATTAAAGCACAAAACATATGTATAAAACTGTTTTCCTAAAATCACTACACAATAAAAAGAACCACTTATTTGAATTATTGTAAGAAAACTAAAATTATTTGGTAATATTGAACAGTTTACCTTTGGGAAGCAGATGTAGTAGCATTCAGTAATTTGATTCTTTGTTAGGTCTAGTACAGAACCTAACACAACATAAATGATATATTGATTCAGGAGATGAATTAGGGAAAAGTATTGGTAGAAATTCAGTGATTAATAGTAGCTGGGGTAGTACTAAAAAGTGCTGAAATAGTGACAATACTGATTAGAAATTCAGTTCATTTCATTAATTCAACAGAGGATCAATCATGAATAGTAATTGAGAATATTTGGATGTCTCATTATATTAATTTTCACTTTTTGATCAAACTTAAAGGTTCCATTTTCTTAGAATTTTTAATGATGTTTAACCCAGAACTAAATGATCCCTAAAACACTGGGCTTTATATGCAGTACTTTTAAAGAAATTCATTGTAAGATGAAAGTTTACAGCCAATAATTTCTATTCCATAGATAATAATTATAGCAGCTATTTTAAAAGTCTTTGATGTAATCATTTTAGTTTAGTTATGAATTTATTCAAAAATTGTTTTGACATGACTCTTTTCTAATATGACCTGTAAACCTAATTATTTTATTAATATTTCTAATACATTGTGTTAAAATTACTAATGAAACTTTTAGTTCTCATGGAATCCCACTAAACATAATTACCATATGTCACCTATGACAAGATATTAACATTATTGTTAGTTTTCTATATAACTAAATTTCAGTTACTTAGGATTTATTCACCTCCTTGAGATTAGAAGTTTTTAGTTTGATGAGTAAAGTGACATTTAGATTGTTTATTGAACAGTATTAGAAATTCAAGTTCAAGTTCCTAATAACTACTTAACAGAAGAATTTTGCTAGGAGCATATTCAAGGTAGAACAACAAAATACCATACTGCTGAGACAACTAGAATTACAGTAAAATGAGGTAGACTGTATTATAAAGTAGTATTTCCCTATTCGTGGGAGGTGAATGGTCAAGGAAACAATGAATTTTAAAGGAATAGTACAGTACTTTTTATACCTGGGAAAAGGAAATGATAAGAGGCTAACTTTAGTTTTGTGCCTCTCTAGGACAAGCACAAGTGCCAGGGCCTCAGCCTACTTAAGCCTTTTTTTTTCTTTCCTCTATTTTATAGGAAATGAAATTTAATTAGTTTGAATAGTTTTCTTAAGATTATATAGCTAACAAGAAAAACAACAAGAATGGAATTCTGATCTTCCTAGTTACCATAGGCTTCCCATCTCAAGTACCTGTTTCTCCCAGCAAATAAGCATCGAAGTTCACTCATATAGAAATACAAATAGGTTTTCTAAATTATTGAAATTCTCACAGGGAAGAAACTTTATTAAGTTTACTTCAAAAAACACAAATAATAAGTAATGTGAATACATCTTTTGAGGACAGGAATGTGGCCTTTACGAGTTTGTCACATCTGATGAAAATTTGTCTCATATACAATATAGTTAGAATTAGTTGACTAATTGTTTAAGCTAGATTTTGAGATAACAAAATAGTGTTTGAACTGTCTATTGTATGACCTCAAGAGCACTAAGCCTATTTCTCCACTTTCAGTTCTTCATGGTAGAACCCCAAAAGATTAAATTATGCTACTTTTTGTATAAGTCTAGCCTTATTTTCTTCCTTTTGTGTAATCCTTGTGCTTTATTCTATATTAATTTATGGCTCTGTGGCCTGAAGAATTGGTCTTACTACTATGATTAATGTCCCTACATTTTAACAAAATATTCTTACTTTATGTAGGGTCAAATCCTTTTGTTGGTGAAAAAGAAAAAAAAATAAAAATGTGTTAAATGACCTTCTGATATATGTATATTAATTAACAAGGAAAAAATGAAACTAATTTCATAGCATAATTTGGAAATTATATTAGCAATTTAAAAAACTGTAGTTGAGTAGGTTATATTTATCAAGTAAACCAAATCTTCATCTTGAGGAATTCTTTCCTTTCTTCACTTAAATAACTATTACAAATGCATTCATATTTACATATTATTATTGTCTTTCAAATTTCATATTTAAATTGGTAACTTTTTCTTTGAAAAATTATACCAGTGTTTTCATCAAACTTTTATACTTGCTTTTTTTGTGTTCTGTAGAGCCAAGAAAATGATGAGCTAAGAGATGCCCATGAAAAACGCAAGGAAAGGCTACAGATGTTACAGACCAACTACAGAGCAGTAAAAGAGCAATTAAAACAGTGGGAAGAAGGCAGTGGCATGTGAGTTACATAGCTCATAAAGACATTTCCCTAAATATTAAATGGAATGGAGTAGCATTATATAGGTGTTTTAATGGCTTTTGTTTGGTTTTAAAGAAATTATTTGGTAGTCAAATTTTTATTGTGAGTTTTTAAATAGAGAACATAATGAATGAAAGTAGAGAAATGTACTAGCTGTAACTTAGATTTTCCTATCATTTGCAGATGACATTAGTAGTAGGTGATTATGAATTATTGTATTTTTACAATTAATAGACTAGCTAAATAAAAGCATACATTTAATACAGAAATAGTTAATATTCATATGCTTGAAATCCTGATTTTGAATGAATAAAATGCTTTAAAATGTGTATAACCACCAAAGTGTTTAAGTTTTAATGGAAAGACAAGAAAAATATGAAATTCACACATATAGTTAACTATCTTAAAACTACTTGAACCTAGTATGCAATTTGAAGATCTTTACTATCCATCAGTTTGTTCTCCAGCTTATCTGAATGAATTGGTGGTCTCAGTTCAATTGCTCTGAACAGGTGTTCAGATCTTGGTTAGTCGTAAGTGGCTCCCCTGTTAACAGTATTAACAAAGGGCAAAGGACTGAATGAGTACAGAAAATCTACTACCCTCTCATCTTTTGAGATGGATCCTTTAGGGCAATGTTGATGATACACATTGGTCTGCTCTGCAGAGAAATACTGTTTCTAAATTGGCCAGTACAGCACTTTTTAAAAATAAAAATGAAGGGTTTGTTTTATGTACAGAAAATGAAAATGTAAAGGACATTTGGCATCACTTGTAGATAATTGTCACATCTAATTTTTTCCTTTGATGAATGGAAAGTGTTTCGTATTGTGTGTCAGTAAGCAGCAATAAAGTGATTTCTCCTAAGCTTTAGCATCTCCTCAGTGTAAGAGTGAAATCTCTTTTCTGACATGTTCATCACTAAAATCTTGTTCTAAGACAGAGCATGTATACCACATTCAGATTGGGTGGCAACAAACTCTAGATGATCACTTATAGTTTTTTTTTTTTTTTTTTTTGAGACTGCTATAGTTCTACAGTGTATTTTTTATTACTAATGGACTAGAATCAGAGGAATAAACCTAAGAATATCATGTGTCTGATTAAAAATTTGCTTTCCACTGTAGAGGTTTAACTTTAGGAAATTAGAATACAGAATTTTAATTTCTACACACTTCAGTTCTAGGAAATTTATCACATTTATCTATTAGTGAGTGTGAATTACAAATTCAAAATTTGGTCTTAGATACATAATAATTTTAAGAAATGTGTAATTTATTTAGTTTTTTTATTGCACTTTGAATATGTTAAGGAAAAAAGCAACTTTATTTTAAAAATAGGATTGAAATCAGAAAAATAAAGAGAGCAGATCCCCAACAACTTCGACAAGAAGATTCTGATGCCGTGTGGAATGAACTGGCATATTTCAAAAGGGAGAACCAGGAACTAATGATTCAAAAGTGAGTTTTTGGTTTTGCTTTGATTTTTACAATATAGAGGTAGATAAACATTTTGGAGGCATTATTTGTGACTTAAAGATACTAGACAAATACCCAATAAATTTTAAATTAAATAATCTGGATTGTGCCGATAGAAATAACAACAACAAAAGATTAGCTTTGCATACACACACGCACATACACACCCGCGCACACACACATATGTGTTATGAAATAACAAGTTGCACATTTGCTAGCTCTAACAGAAACTGTATAATATGATCTAGGGATTGTGTTAATTAATGTGGCTCTCATCTGTTGGAGGTGTCGCTCTTCATTAGCCTGTATTTTAGACACTGCCGTGCTTCATTTTTGGAATGAGGTGGAGAGGGGATAACCTAGCCAGCCATCCTTGTTTGATCTCCTAGATACATACGCAATGCAGAATGCCTGAGCTCTCTTGGTTCCCTGCCCTGTCCTGCTAATCCCAGCTGAGCTCATTATGGTGTAGCCTTGCTGCTACTCTTGGAGCCAGAGCTGTCCAAGCTAATTACTGGTAGCAGCAGAACTGCCTGTTAAGGGTCTGGTGTGGATCTGCTAACATGGTCCTTGGTAGTGACCTGCAAAAGACACGAGGGAATTGCTTTCTTTCTTGCTCTGCACTGCCTGTCCTTTGGGCTTAATGCTGATCCCTCCACATAGGTCTTTTAGCTGCCCTAAGTATAAAACTTGATGAAGGATACTCATATTTTAGAAAACATACAGTTTGCTTGCTTGATCTTATAATTCACAGACTATTATATTCAGCCTGGCAAAGAAAGATTTTTGTGTGTGTGCAGGTTTTTTTTTTTTTTTTAGACAAAGAAGAGTTAGACAATATAATTAGCTTCTTTTGCTATTTAACTATTTTATCATTTAGAGTTAATTTTTAACACTCAGACTATATGGTCTTTTTGAAAGCCTGAATATCTTTTTGATTGCGAGAATTTAGCAGTATATGCCACAGGCATATTATAATTGTCACTGACTTTTCTTAGCTATAAATCAGAAACTTGTTTTATGCGCTGTATTATAACTTGTAACTTTTTGTGATTACAACTTTTTCTATGTAATAGTATACTCTTTGAGGAAAAGAGCATATCACATTTAAATCCATACTCCCAATTACCTCAACATACAATATGTTCTATTAGCTCTCAGTATTTGATGTTGATAATGAAGTCTCTTGTCTTGAAAATGATCTTATGAACTGTATATATTTATTCCCATTTTCTGATATTTTTAATAGTTTAATTGAAATATAACTCAGAAGTCATATAGTTCACCCATATAAATGATATATTTCAGTGGCTTTTGCTGTATTCAAAGAGTTGTTCACCATCTATCATTACAATTAATTTTAGAATATTTTCATCATGTCTTCAAAAAAATAATGTTAAAACCTCACACAAGCTATCCGATGTGCCCCTAACACTTCCATCCACTTTTCCCAGACCTAGGTAACTATTTATTAACCTATGTTCTGGGTCTGTGGATTTTCTTATTCTGGATATTTCATATCAATACAATCATAAAATACATGATTCTTTTGTTACTAGTTTCTTTCACTTAGCATAATATTTCCAACGTTCATTCATATTGTGGCACATGTCAATATGTTCTCTGATAATCTTTAATGACCATCTGTCTCCAAAGATGAGTATTAATTTTGGCTAAAGTGAATTAAGTGAGAGACCTCATCTAACTAGTTTTGAGATCTATTCAAGAAAATTCAGTCAGATATTATAAGTGTACATTTTGGGGTTTATTTTATTCATTAGTGAAATAGAATAGAAAGAAAAGGTAATAAGGCCTTTTAAGGAAAATTAGTGAGCTCTTAAATCCTACTCTGTTCACTTGGGTAGTGTTTTTACATTGGAAATAGCTCTTTGAATGCAATGCAAAGAGTCATTATTACACCATGAAAGTTTTCCTTTTGTCTATTTAAATTCATCAATGTGATAGTTATTTGTAAGAGTTATTTTTCAGACCAGTCTCAGTAAATAGTAATGACTTTTTTTTATAAAGCATTGAATGAACCTTAAGTTGTCTATTAGAAGTTTCTTGGGGAAAGTTTATTTTGTGAAACTTTATTCAGTTAACTAAATGTGTTTGAGTTCTGCTCTCATGCACTCTGTTTGGTGAATGAAATGAGAAAACATTAGACAAATGTTCTACTTACAAGTTACTTCATGAACCACATGTTCAGTATGAAACATTCTTAATGAAATGTGATGTCAAAAATAAAATTCATATAAAAATGTATGTTCAAACAATATTTGCAAACCCTCAGTCTTTTATTCATTGATGTTTGTATACTGATGAGGGCAGGAATGTTTTGTTTCACTTTTTTTCCCCCTCAAATTTATATTCAGTACAATTGGCTTTTTTACTGTGCAGTTTTATCAACTATAACACATTTAACACTTGAGTAACTAATACCACAATCAAGATGCCAAATATATTTCAGAAACATTTTTCTTGTTCTGCCACTTTGTAGTCCAGTCATTCTACCATCCCTACACTTGACAACCACTGATTTGTTCTCCCTTCCTGTAGCTTTGCCTTTTTCAGAGTCCTATGCATAGAATCATATAAACCAACATTTAGAGGACTGGCCTCTTTTGCTTAGTACAGTGCCTTCGAGATTCATTCAGTTTAGTATATCCAGTTTGTTCCTTTTTATTGATAAATGGTATTCCATTGTAAAGGTTTATTACAGTTTGTTTTTCCATTGAACAACATTTAGGTCATTTCCAGGGTTTTTTGTATACTTATTTTGCATTTATGAATATAGCTGCTATCATAGGTTTTGTGTGAGCATGACTTTTTGATTCTTTAAGGTAAATATTCAGGAGTTGCATTGCTAGATCATATGATCACTATAGGTAGAACTGTATCAGAACCTGTCAAATCCTTGTCAACTCTTGATGTTGTCTCTAATTTTTAAAAATAAATAGGTATGTAGTAGTAGCCCATTGTGATTTTAATTTGCATTTCCCTAATGATTAATGGTATTGATTGTCTTTTTATGTGCTTATTTGCTGTCTCTGTTCTTTGATTGAGTCTTTTCAAATCAATTGCCCAATAAAAATGGTTAGTTATTAAAACAATTATAGTTGTTTTTTATTGTTAAGGTTGAAGTTGTGGTTTTCCTGGTTCTTGGTTTGATGAGTGATTTTAAAAACTGTCTCCTGCACTTTGGAATATTATGTTAAGAATCTTGATCTTATTTAAATCTTTTATTTTAACATGCTGCTGATGGCATCATGACTCATGACATCATAAGGGTCACCTGATTAGTATTAGTAAGGGGTGGGAATCTAACCTCCTAATTTGACTTTTGCTGATAGTGCATTGAAGGGAGACTGAAGAGGTTTCTACTTGTTGTAGGTAGAGGTCTAGAATTCTTATTCTGTTTTCATTAACGTGGAGTGCAGGACTTCTAATTGTTTTCTCCCAGTGTTTATGGATGGATTAGGGTAGATCAACAAGATTTCTTTCTGACTTATCTGATTTTTTACTGGTCCTTCCCTAAAGAGAGCAAGCTTTCCTTGAGGATTTGTTTGTTTGTGTCCATTAGCATTTCTGGATTGTGGGCTTCTTGTATTTATTTATTTATCCATCTATTTATTTATTCATTTATTTATTTTTAGTTGTGCCCAATACCTTTATTTATTTATTTTTATGTGGTGCTGAGGATCAAACCCAGGGCCCCACACATGCTAGGCAAGCGCTCTACTGCTGAGCCACAACCCCAGCCCGATTGTGGATTTCTTTAGTTCCTAATTTGGGGTGAAAAATGAAGTAAACCCAGGAAACTCATCACTGTGAGTTATTCTTCTAGTGTTGTTCTCTACTCCCGAGATTCCTTCTCTATTGTTCTTGCCTGTCCCTTTTAGAGTCATATTTTTTAACATATTATTTTTAGGGTTTATATATATAATTAGTAGGAATAGATGTATTTATTCTTTCTTGTTAAGAACCAGAAGTTTCAACTTGTTTTTCTGTAAACTCAGAAGTCTTATTTTTGTGTCACATATTACCCTTTAATTTAACATTCAGCCTTGAGTTTTTAAGGGATGATATGAACTTGATTTCTGCTGTCCTAAGTATCTTTTAAGACTAGAATCCACAATAGAAGATATACTGCTACTACTACTTTTAAATCACATTTTAACTGTGCTTCCAAATATACCTAAAAGTTGAGTTAGCTGTGAAATTTTCAAGAATCTAATTAAACAATATACTTTACAAAACATGATTATAAAGAATGAAGCTGCTTTTGGGCTGGGGATATGGCTCAAGTGGTACCGCGCTCGCCTGGCATGCATGCGGCCCAGGTTCGATCCTCAGCACCACGTACAAACAAAGATGTTGTGTCTGCCGAAAACTAAAAAGTAAATATTAAAAAACATTCTCTCTCTCTCTCTCTCTCTCTCTCTCTCTCTCTCTGTCTCTCTCAAAAAAAAAAAAAGAATGAAGCTGCTGCTGACTGACATTGTAGTTTTTTTCAACTATTGAGTATGGTGAGAAGTATTAGTTACTATTATTCAGTATGGGACTCTAAGGACTTGTAAACTTTTCATGGAATATAGTTCCTGCTGTACTTCATTTAGATTTATGAAATACATCTATGTATTATTTCAACTATATTTTAATAAAAGATGAAGAAATTAACAATCCATGAACTAATAAGTTGCCTGGCTTCCTTAGTATATTCATATCATTTTTCATTCATTCAATAATAGAACACTATAATTTAGAGCCAGACACTAAAGTAGGGGCTGAATATACAGAGGTTTACTGAAGTGTAATGGTTTCAAAATCTACCTGCCACAACCTAGTGAGATGAAACCACCCTTTGTATACTAGATTGTAAGAACCAAGAAAAGCTTTCAGAAATGCCAGTGAACATACTCTGCTTTCTTGCTCAGTTGAGCATGTTGTCATACCAGTGCTAAATTAGACTTAGGAACCTA